AACAATGAACATTTACAGAATGATTCCTTATAATATTGTCTAACGGAAGCATATATAATGTGAACAAAATAGGTCCGAGCACTGAGCCCTGTGGCACTACATGGCTAACTTTGGTTTGCGTGTTAGATTTATCGTTGACACGTACAAACTGAGAGCGTTCAGATAGATAGGACCTAAACCAGCCTAAAACAGTTCCCTGTCTGCCAACTAAGTGCTCTAGTCTTTGCAATAAGATATCATGGTCGATAGTATCAAATGCAGCACTGAGATCGAGCAAAACAAGAATAGAGACAAGTCCTTTGTCTGAGGCTATTAGAAGGTCATTTGTGACTTTAACCAGAGCTGTCTCTGTGCTATGATGTGTTCTAAAGCCAGACTGAAAATCTTCAAATAAATCATTGTTTTTTAAGTAATCACACAGCTGTTTTGCGACTGCTTTCTCAAGAATTTTTGAGAGGAACGGAAGATTAGAAATAGGTCTATAGTTGGCTAAAACCTCTGGATCGAGGTTGTGCTTTTTAAGAAGCGGTTTTATCACTGCTACTTTGAATGATTGTGGAACATGGCCTGATAATAAAGACATATTCATAATATCTAATAAAGAAGTGCTAATTAATGGAAAAACTTCCTTCAACAGCTTAGTTGGAATTGGGTCTAACATACACTTTGATGGTTTAGAAGAGAGAATCATTGAATTTAATTGTTCAAGGTTTATGGCTGAAAAGCATTCTAGTTTACTATCTAGTGTAATATTAGAGCTTATATTTCCGGGAGCTGTTGATAACACTATACTGGTCAAAGGCAAGAGGTCATTACTACTGAGTGCTATGGGAATAGAAGGCTCAATCGAGCTATGGCTCTCTGTCAGCCTGGCTACAGTGCTGAAAATAAATCTTGCATTATTCTTATTCTCATCTATTAATGAAGAGTAGTAGGCTGCTCTCGCTTTACGCAGTGCTTTCTTATATTCATTGAGAGTAATATGCCAAATTAAACGAGATTCTTCAAGTTTAGTGGAACGCCATATCCTTTCAAGTTGTCTCGACTTTTGCTTTATTTTGCGGGTTTCGGCATTATGCCATGGAGCTAATCTATGTTGTTATATTTTCTTCTTTTTCAAAGGAGCAACAGAGTCTAATTTTATTCGCAGCGCATCTGTAGCACCATCAACAACAAGATCAATTTGGGGTGGTGTACATTTTGTATAAGTTTCCTCCCTTACATGCAGACATGCTATCGAGTTAAGTATTGGTGGAATCTCTTCCGTAAATTTGGCTATAGCACTAACAGATCAGCAGGAGCTTTTGACTAATGCTTTGTAGTCTAGTAACAGTACTTCAAAAGTTACTAAGAAATGGTCGGATAAAGCAGGATTATACGGTTCGACTAATAGTTGCTCAATTTCAATACCATAAGTCAGAACAAGGTGGAGAGTGTGATTATAGCAGTGGGTTGGTTTATTTACACTCTGACAAAAAAAAAATTCAACAGCATATATCAATATTATAATCTGATATTAAATAATTTACCAATATTGCTTTAGATGCTAGAGGTCTTATGTTTAAGAGACCACATTTAATCTTCCTATTTTGTTGCACTGTAGTAGTTGTTACATTTACTTTTATTAGGTTATTATGTATGACACCTCTATTAGGTTTTACCTTAAATTGTCCTTGGGCAGACACACACACCGTTAATATTGGGTATTTTATTGGGTTCGGGATTCCTATGGATGACTGCCTAGTGTTAGGGAAATAATTGTCCTAGACTCCTAGATATGACGTACAGGACCAACCCTGACGTCTGTTTATCTCCTTTAAGGAGATAGGCTGCTTCAGCCATAATGTTATTGTTCCCATTCTGTGACCGGTCAACACTAGGTCACAGATGGTCTTTGTTGTGGGTGCACTGGGACACTTCCTTCTTTGTTGTTTGTGGACTCCAGGGTATGACATATTCAAGGCCATAAGTGGCGGACGCAGGTAACTCATGCCCCGGCCACACGAGGACGAAAACGGCTAAACACATAGGATTAATGCAAACGCAATCGCAAAAAAGCTTCCGTCCACACGCAATAGTCATCCGGATAGTGTCTGTCCACACGAGACCGCTCCGTTTAGCTCCAACCGCTGGAGAAGCTGCAGTACATATGCAGGAGCCTGTACGTGGTGCTGTAACTTCCTCCACAAAAGCAGCGAAGAAGCATGGTTGTCATGGTTGCCCTTCTGTTTATTCTCCGCGGTGGGAGCCGAGGGAACCGGGCAGAGTTTTTCGCCAGTCAACGTGTATTAAAGTTTAAATCTTCCGACAAAATTATAAAAGTGCCGGTCAAAGGTCTTCTTTGTTATTTATTGAGCTTTGAAACAAATGAATAATGACTCTATATATTATAATAATAAAATACACGGAGCCTCTCTTTTTCCTCCCTCTCTTCGGACAGCGTCAGTGTCTGTTTCATGCAGCAGCTGATCCAGTAATGAGTGACCCGGCCGACAGTAAAAATAAACATATTTATATCTAGTTTAGGTAGTTTGAGAGGTAATTAAAATAGCTAAGGGTGATGAATCGATGATCGGACTTGAAGTGTGTGTTTTACTCCGTTCACCGCCGCATCACAGCGGGAGGAGCTGCAGGTGAGCAGAGCTGCGTGTCTCCGTCCTGTCAGATTAGACTTCACTCGCGTTTAGGTCCATATCGAGAGAAATATAAATAATCTGAATTCAGTGTGCAGTTTACTTTGACGCGGGGGTGAGCAGCAGAGGTGGGGAGAGGCGGGGCTATTGCCTCATCATTATCAGAAAATTATCGTATAGGGCGTACACACAGAGCCCTTGGACCCCCCAGAGCGTTGCGTATGCCGTTCTATCCACCTTGGGACCCGTTATCGTTTACGCAGTCGTTTAGTGCCGTTTTCGGTCGTCCTCGTGTGGCCGAACGGTCTATATGACACTAAACAGTAACGCAAACGACCGTTTTCGTCCTCGTGTGGCCGGGGCATCAGTGTGCCCAACTGTCTAAAGCTATCTTATCAAAATATGTTGATTACTCTCTGTGAAACCAGTTAAATGGGCTAACAAGAGAGAGGCGCTCCAGAATTGACGTGGCAACCCACCCGTGCAGTCTCACCGGGACTGCTGTGACTTGTGATGTGAATCCTCCGGCCGTAACTCCAAATAAACCTCCAGTGTTTGACATCAAAAGCTCCTGCTCCTACCGTGTCTCCTTCCTGAGTCGGTGACTCCCACTGCATTGCTACACAGAAGTTTCCTTTACACCTAGGAGAGAGCGCAGAGAAGCGTGTAAGACTGCGACTGGTCAAAACTCCAGTTTGTCATGGATTAAGTCCACACTCCATGGCTAACTTTGGTTTGCGTGGAAGATTCATCGTTAACATGTACAAACTGAGAGCGTTCAGATAGATAGGACCTAAACCAGCCTAAAGCAGTTCCCTGTATGCCAACTAAGTGCTCTAGTCTTTGCAATAAGATATCATGGTCGATAGTATCAAATGCAGCACTGAGATTCGAGATTCGATTCAAACTTTTATTTTGAAGAGCCGATTTTCTAACGCTGTGCATGCAGTCGGCGTTGGACTGGAAGTACCGGGGACCATAAACGGTTTTGAAAACTTCTGTCACGTAGTGATCATCTTCTCAATAAAATATCTTTGCTGATGTTTTTTCGAGTCTTCTGGCCAATCAGAATCAAGATTGTGCCGGAAGTCCCCACGGAGAATAACTTAGCGGTACAACTATTCTTTATACATCCGTGGGTACAACTTCAGATAACAATGAACACATAATGAAATATGACCCCCGGTTTGATGATTGACAGGTCACAGAACAATGGGAGCCATCTACCCTTGCCCACAATTTAAAGTAAGTCACACAGACTATCTCCTCAGCAAGCTGTCAGAACAAAGTGAAAAACAAACAATGGCATAAAATATTCTTAATATGTCGGGTAGTAATAGATTTATTTATTTTCGTCTCTGAGTACCAGAAGGCATAGTTTATGTTAGTATTTCTAAAAATCTCCTGGGGAAGAATCCCCCCAGACCCCCCTGCTGGGGTTGGGTTTTCAGCATGTGTGCCTTTTTATATAGTTCAGCTTTGATTCCATCATCTCATTAAACCTTTTTTAAAACCATACTTTAGTTCTGTGAAGGGATATAAGGGATATATGCACTGTACTTCACTTTTATTAATATAGTATGCTGAAAAGTGTATATTACAGCACGATTTTTTGTTGAATAGATTTCAGTGCTTGGGAGAAAAAAAAAGGGATCTTACTAAGAGAGAACAATTCAATATTTAAATGATAAAATTAAATTTTTTGGGGATCCTTTTGTTGAACTGTGTGTTTACAATTAATCGAAGCATCAGACAAAAAAAGCTTTTGAAAATAATATTATTTTTTGATTGAGGTCAAAATATAATAGTTGTAAACCTGAAGAGTCAGTGCCAGTGCCTCGCCAGCCATGAACCTCACTGCACGTCACTGCACAAGCTTATATATAGACATCTACGTTTTTTGTGCCCCAACACTTTTGTACATATAAAAACGCCACTGTATGTTCGTATGACAAAATAAAGAACCTTGAACCTATTGTGCAGGCTGGACCCCCTGTACTCCAGCGCGAGGGTTCTCTGGCTGCTGATCTGGTTCTGCGGGCTCGGGGTTCTGTTCTCGTTCTGCAGGATCTACCTGAAGCTGGACCTGATCAAAGGGTTCTGCGGGTTCTGGGCTTGTCTTTTCTTTAGTATACGTATAGAGTATTTATATAGTTTAATATATTATTCTTATATCGTTTTTTGTGTATGTAAATGGTCTGCAAAGGCTAAACATTCTGACTTGTCTCAAATGTCTCACTTGTTAAAACAATTTAGAGGAATTGACCAATCAGATGAGGCCTTTATCCGGGACCTGCCCCCCTGTGATAGGTCAGGGTCATGTCACGGGAACCTTCTGATCAATGAAATCACACCATATGACATCATCAACGCTAGCGACGTGCAGTCATGGAGATTTTGAGTTTTGAGTTTCACTAAATTACCGCTGAAACAGCAACTCTAAATTAAAAGATGGGATAAACCAGCTCAAAGACTTCAGAGAGGAGAGAGGGGGAGGATTCGACCATTTAATGCAAAGTGCAAAACTTCCGCAGCGCGTGCAGAGATCTACTGTAATGTCGCGAGGAGCTGAAGGCTGAGAGATGCTCCGACATTAATGACCGCTTTATGTGAGACAGGAGATCTTCTCCAACAACTGGGTGAGTGAAACGCGATAAATCAATAACTGACTGAATAATGACATGTCGTTTAGGATCGATAACCACCTGATGCAGTGCGCGTGCACCAGGTAGAGCAGGTTCACTTTAATGGAGAAGAGATCCATTGAACAGGACCTGATGAAGTGTTCTCATATAGGAGAAGTACTCAGGTCTTGTACTCGAGTAAAACTAGAAGTACTCAGGTCTTGTAGGCTACTTGAGTAAAAGTAGAAGTACTCAGATCTTGTACTTGTGTACAAGTAGAAGTACTCAGGTCTTGTACTGGAGTAGAGTACTCAGATATTGTACTGGAGTAAAAGTAGAAGTACTCAGGTCTTGTACTGGAGTAAAAGTAGAAGTACTCAGGTCTTGTACTGGAGTAAAAGTAGAAGTACTCAGATATTGTACTGGAGTAAAAGTAGAAGTACTCAGGTCTTGTACTGGAGTAAAAGTAGAAGTACTCAGGTCTTGTACTTGAGTAAAAGTAGAAGTACTCAGGTCTTGTACTTGAGTAAAAGTAGAAGTACTCAGATCTTGACACACACAATCCCAATTCGCGCGGAGTTAAGAACACTTAACAGAAAAATAAAACACATTTCAATGTGACATATTTTAATTGAATTCGGCTTTAGCTGCACGTTTTATTACTGATCAACTTTACAATAATGCATATCGATATAAATATTACTGACTTGTGACGTTTCTAAAGTGTTTCTACGGTGTTTTCCATTATTCCCTCTCGTGGGCACAGCCTGCCACCTGCTGGTCAGACTGTGGAACGGCACTGCTCTGCTTGTGTTGAGACTTTATTTCAGCAAGTACGAGTTAGAAATGTTTGAAAAGATACAAATATAATACACATGATTATTAGCAGCATGTATTTACAATAGAAACGAAATACATCCGTATATCTAAATCAGAGGGGAGCAGATTCTAAAAGTATAATCAGTGATAGGGACATGAAACCTGTGCTTGTCTTATATTGTACTTCTTAGATATAAATGTAAACAGATATTACACAGTAGTATTCACGTGTTGATAAGACCACTTTTCAAATAAATTCAGTCAATTAAAACATGTTCTAACAAATCTTATTTTATTAAAAAAAGCCCAATAACTTATCTGCATAATAAGGGGAAATGTTCCCTGAACATTTCCCCTTATTATAATCTGAGGCTTCTGTTTGAAGGAATGAGCTGAACACACTAAATAAAGTAAAGCCTCTGGAGAGCTGAGATGAAGGCGGTTTGTTTCTTAAAGTATATTCAACTATCAAGAATAATTGACTTACTTTTGATTGATTTTGCTAACTTATAAGTTAACTTTTGAGGCCGTGCACTGCGTTGTAGTTCAAACGCATGTTGGGATGCTTCCCAGTGTTGGTTCACTTATAACGAGCAGAACAGTCTCAGCGTGTGATAGATAACATTCAGCCTTCAATTTCAAAACAACAAAACAGAGATTAGAATTGACAAATTATTTCAAAGACAAATGTCGCTTTCTTAAAACATCCCCACTACTCCCTTTTGCACGTGGAAAGTAAACGATGAGGTATTTTCTTTGTCTTGTAAAGCCTGTCCTGCAGCATGTGTCGTTTCCTCTTCTGTCTGCAGGCTGATTCCTTCTCACAGCGTCTGTCTGACTGCACTGTCTCTCCTGGAGCTGAGACTCTGAGGATCTGATGAGGACCAGAAGACGAGTGCAGCAAGTGTGCCTGACCTGACCCTCCTCCTCCATGACCTCCGCCTGCAGTCTCTCAGCTGAATGAAGCTCCTTCTTTCCGCTGAGGGACAAACAAAGCCCCCTCCTCTCCGGAAGAAACAGGAACTGTATTTAGAGGCGTTTCCTTTTCAGTAAACCTCTTGAAATCTGCGGTTCCTGGACAGACAGTGTTGCACATGGTCCATTAGTACAGCTTTTAGTCGGGGAGGGTTATTATAACTTCCTGTCCCCAGTATTTGGTGCAGAGCGGCACTTCGAGTCACAAAGGGAAGGGAAACCTTTACGCAAACACACAAAGGCGTATGACGTGGTAGGGGGAGGGTTTTTGGAGTTGGGTTTCCCCCCCCCCTACCCGGTGTCCCTCTCTTTGTCTCCCCCTCTTCCCTCTCCCTCTCTGGGTCCTGAGGGGGGGTCAAAGGGCGTCTGGGAGGAATGCCAGAGGGGGAGGAGCGGCCAGATCTTTTGTCCTCTCGTCTCCAGTCGACCAATCCTGGCCCGTGTGACGTATCGGCTCGGCTCTTTGCATGCTTTACCCACATGCCCTAGCGGTTCCTCATCAGAACCTGAAGTGGGTCTGCCGGTCCTGGGGGGTCACTTTAAGTCCTAGGGGGTCACTTGAGTTCCTGAGGGGTCACAATCACACATTAACACATGTAATTCTGCACATATAGAGCCTTTGAAAGCAGGGTTTTCCTCCTCTGAGCCTCTACATGTCCTGGCACCAGAGCAGAGGCTGCTCCCAGGTCAGAGAGGTATATATACTCCCCAGATTCTTAGTTATATTGTGTTACTTCGGTAGCACATATACTAAAATTGGAACGATACAGAGAAGATTAGCATGGCCCCTGCGCAAGGATGACACGCAAATTCGTGAAGCGTTCCTTATTGTTTCCTTCCCGTAGCTCTTTTCTGTGATTTAATATGATTTTTTAAAGATTTGATATGATTTGGGATGATTTTGGGTGAAACAGCGCCCCCATGGCCCCCAGTGGTACTGCGGCTGCAGAGACTGCTCTTCACTCCTCTGCACTCTGCTCCTCTTCACTCCTCTGCCTTTCATTATAACACTTCAACATTTAGTTCACTAGTTTCACTTCGAGTAGTGGGTTATGCTTTGAACTGGTGGAGGAGAGACACCTCCTCTGAGCTCTGTGCCTTCATGACTTCTTCTGTTTGCATCTCACATTTCTGTTATTAGCAGGACTTCATCCAACAGGAGTCATCTGCATGTAAACAGAGCAGCATCTGATCACAGTGAATACAGACCTGAGAGGTTTAGAAATCTGGATGCTGCACAGGGTCTAAAGTGCTATTTAGCGGGACGTTACGGAGCTCAGGGGTCCCCCGCCCTCTGATGCATTTAGGGCTGACAGGGTGAGGAGGGTGTCCCGCTCCGCTGTGCAGCATCCAGGGAAACACACAGCGGAGCGGGAGCTGGTTCTGATTTGAAAGATAATGCCAACACTTTTCCATCAGCTCAACATTAACCTCAGAGCTCTGACGTTAAATGAATGATACTTATTGCAGAACCATGTTAGCCTTAATATACATGTTGACTTTAGTACACTACCGCATAGTAAATACGAATTACATTTCAAGTTATTACAGTACTTCATTAAATAGCCAAGTGTCTATGACCGTTAACCCTCCGTCCACATCTGTGAGCATTAACTTCATGAACATTTACGTTAGTGCAAAGTAAAAAAGCATAACGTGTTTTGCACCTAGCAAAGAGCAGGAGAAATGCATGTTGTTGCCGTAGTTCTACTGTTAACACTGTAAATGGCGGAGCGGCAGCTTTTAATCACGAATGGTGCATATACATGTTAACTTCGTAAACGTTAGCGCATAGTAATAAGCATTAAATGACAAGTATTTACGGATTTAAACGGCCGGAAAGCTCCGGTGTGTTTCTGGCTTAGCGGCAACTTGTTACCAATGCTAATATGCGCGAACGTTACAAGACAACACATTGGCATTCATCTGTTATATTACATTATAACGGACTGTCTTGATAAGAGTAATAGCAGAGTTTATGTTACCTTTTCAAAAGCCGGTCAGTTATGATGGCTGTTCATTTACAGTGAAGACAATCCCCGCTGAATGAGACGTCATCCAATCAGAGTACTAGAACTAAGTGAGACGACCAATGGGTGGACAGAAGATGTAAACGAGAATGCCATAGAAATGAACGTGAGGGGCGGGACTCTAAGTGAGACTAAGTGAGACTGAGCAGGCCCGATTATCCTCGCCGCCTCAGAGGATACTGCCCATTCTTCTCTGTGAAAGGAGGGGGGCAAGGAGAGGAAAGTGGGCCCTGCTCCGCGGAGCAGAAGGTCGGCCGTTCGATCCCCAGCTGTGGCAGAGATGAGGAAGAGCTCCCCTCTCAGACAGCACTGCCTGACACTGATGACTCTAAAACAGGGGGTTTTGGTCAATGATGATAAACTACAAAGAGTATCTGTAAAGTGCTGTGAGATAACATCTGAATAAATAAAACTGATCTGATTAAAGAAAGGTTTGTTCTACAGAGCTGTATTATGATGCATGTTATATTTGATATATATATCAAATATAACATGCATCATAATTGAGTGGCAACATATCTATATATATATATATATAGAGGAGATGATGAGATGATACACACATACATGTGTGTGTGTATCATCTCATCATCTCTACTGTGCTTATGCACCATGTTGTGTTTTATTGACCCGTGTTGCAGTCAAATATCAGACGTTGTGTAATGAATTCTAAATAAAGTTTCCACACAAAGTTCAGTTCAGTTTTATTTTAAAATAGATTTAAATAAATAAAGACAAAAGACAATTAAAGAAAAAGAGCCATCATTCCCCCCCCCTCTGGGTCCCTTTTGAGTCTTTTCATCTCCTCCCTCCATTCCTCCACAGTTTTCCCGCCGGCAGCCGCGCAGTGAGACACACCTGCAATGCGAGTGTGGCCAGTGTCGATCCTCTTGGCCTGGCCACACTTGCTGCAGGTGTACTGACCCGTCTGCTGACGGGCTTTGCTCCAGGGCGACGGCCCACCCCTTGCAGCATCAGCCTCCGCCGCATTCCTCTTCCTGTAGGCCGTTATCTTCGGCACACGGAGAGGAGGAGGCTGAGCAGCAGGGGCAGCCATGAGAGGGCCAGCCGGGAGCAGTGTCGGAGGAGGAGGAGGAGGAGGAGGAGGAGGAGGAGGAGGAGGAGGAGAGGGAGGAGGCGGAGGAGGAGGAGGGAGGAGGAGGAGAGAGGAGGAGGAGGAGGAGGAGGAGGAGGCGGAGGAGGAGAGGAGGAGGAGGAGGGAGAGGAGGAGGAGTGAGGAGGGAGGAGGAGGAGTGTGGCCAGATGAGGCAGGCAGACCCCCCCCTGAAGGTCCCGGCACCTCGGGATGTTGTAATGGAAGGGCTGTCCTTGTCCCACCTGTACAAAGGACAGCCTTTCGCTGGCGGGAGAGGCTGGGACAGCCACAGCTACTGCAGGGACGACGCCAGTTCCCTGCAGCAGCACAGGACACCCCGCCTCTCTTTCTGGCACGAGAGAACCTGTAAGCACAACCCGAGAAGATAAGCTGAGTCACGGAGAGGACAGTGAGGGTAATGCCGCAGCAAATATTTGGTACAGGAATATTTGAAGCGAGTCTTACCGTTGGAGACTCTCCTTCCCAGGACAGAAGGTGTTCATCCCCTTCACTGTCTTGGACCGCGAAGGAACGACTGGGACCGCTTGGCTTCAATGAGACGGCGGGCATCTCCGGGGTCCACCCACTCCTGTGATAAGGAAACAAAAGTCTGTCTGATTATTGGAGTACAATTTTTCTCAAATACTGTTTATATGATGTTGTAATTATCACCTAGTGTGTCTTTGGTCAATAGTCATTTTGTGTAAGATAAATAATATTGCTATAATTCTACTATGATTATCAGTACTAGTATTGACAGGCCAGACCTGAAACAAGGCAGCTGTCTTTGACACGCCGTCTCTGTTGCAGCAGTCCCGATCCATGTAGATCAGCTGGGGGGTGGTACCTCGGCTAGTCGGTACCGCCTCATCAGTCCGGCCGCCATACTGGACAGGCCCTCTGAGCAGGTGAGGACGCTGATGAGGACCTTATCCAGCTGACGGCTGGAGAGAGAGAGATTGAAAATGTGAGTGCATAAACACACGGCGGCTGTAAGAAAAAAAATGAAATTGTGACACCGAATCTGCCCCATCATCACGCTGCACAAGGCCAGGAACTGCTCGCACACACCGAGGTACTGGATCGCTCTCCGCATCCAGGCGTCTGAGTGCTGCTCCCGTCACAGGACAGCCTGCAGAAACACACAACAAGCATTATATTCAGCTCCCTCATCACATTCATTCATATATACGGTATGTTGTCAATTCCTCTCACTTGTACATAAGTACAGCTGGGAACTGGCAGCTGTAGGTGGGGGCCAGCTGCCTGATGATGCCCCTGTGACCACCGGCCGACCTTCTTCTTGCATCGACAGTGGCCATGGGTTATTTTACTGTGTACTTTTTCAGTTATTCTCTGTCAAACTCCTGTGGCAGAAAATCATTTTATCTCATCAAATATAGCAGAAAACATGCAGTTTGACGGAGGATTAAAACTGTAATCAGAGCCCTCTCATCTGAGCTCCGTTACACACACACAGGAGCGGGACATCCTCCTCAACCTGTCCGCAATAAATGCCTCAGAGGACGGATACCTGAAACGTAGCGTCCAGCTAGCTTAGCCGTTAGCTTAGCGATAAATACACACAGCGTTGTATTCTCCTCCCCCTGTCGGCCCTAAAAGCTTCAGAGGGCGGATACCGGAACTCCGTAGCGTCCCGCTAATGTGAAACACACACACACAGCCTTAGCGGGACATTGTCCTCCCCCTGTCGGCTCTAAAAGCTTCAGAGGGCGGATAGCTGGGCTCCGTAGCGTCCCGCTAGCTAAAGGTGAACACACACAGCAGTTCATCAGCGGTTCACAAAGTACCGTACAAACACCACGGCTAACTCAGTATGACTAATGTCGGACAGAGAAGTGTCTTTGTAACAGTGTTTACACGTGTATTTGCTAATAATTAATGCACATTTTACTCACAGTGTCGCTTGATTGAAGTCACTCAGTAGAATGCCAGGTCGAAATAATGGCGGACGGAGGAGAGAATTTGGAAAGAAATCCGCCTCACTGATTGGACGCCAAAAGTTTGATTCTCTGATTTGGACCTTTATCCGCCTCCCATTGGCGAACGATTGAATCCACCCGGTGGAGGATACTGCCCATTCTTCTCTGTGAAAGGAGGGGGGCAAGGAGAGGAAAGTGGGCCCTGCTCCGCGGAGCAGAAGGTCGGCCGTTCGATCCCCAGCTGTGGCAGAGATGAGGAAGAGCTCCCCTCTCAGACAGCACTGCCTGACACTGATGACTCTAAAACAGGGGGTTTTGGTCAATGATGATGATAAACTACAAAGAGTATCTGTAAAGTGCTGTGAGATAACATCTGAATAAATAAAACTGATCTGATTAAAGAAAGGTTTGTTCTACAGAGCTGTATTATGATGCATGTTATATTTGATATATATATCAAATATAACATGCATCATAATTGAGTGGCAACATATATATATATATATATATATATATATATATATATATATATATATACATATAGGAGATGATGAGATGATACACATACATATATACACTGAACAAAAATATAAGCGCAACACTTTTGTTTTTGCTCCCATTTTTCATGAGATGAACTCAAAGATCTAAAACATTTTCTATATACACAAAATAACCATTTCTCTCAAATATTGTTCACAAATCTGAAAAAATCTGTGATAGTGAGCACTTCTCCTTTGCCGAGATAATCCATCCCACAGGTGTGGCATATCAAGATGCTGATTAGACAGCATGATTATTGCACAGGTGTGCCTTAGGCTGGCCACAATAAAAGGCCACTCTGAAACGTGCAGTTTTCCTTTATTTGGGGGGTCTGGGGGGGTCCGAAAACCAGTCAGTATCTGGTGTGAGGGGTAGGATTAGGGGTAGGGTTAGGGTAATGTTGTGAATTGAGTGATCTGTGTTCGTCATCCATAACATACGCCTGCCCATACCATAACCCCACCTCCACCATGGGCCACTCAATTCACAACATTACCCTAACCCTAACCCTAACCCTAATCCTACCCCTCACACCAGATACTGACTGGTTTTCGGACCCCCCCAGACCCCCCAAATAAAGCAAAACTGCACGTTTCAGAGTGGCCTTTTATTGTGGCCAGCCTAAGGCACACCTGTGCAATAATCATGCTGTCTAATCAGCATCTTGATATGCCACACCTGTGGGATGGATTATCTCGGCAAAGGAGAAGTGCTCACTAGCACAGATTTTTGCAGATTTTTTAACAATATTTGAGAGAAATGGTTATTTTGTGTATATAGAAAATGTTTCAGATCTTTGAGTTCATCTCATGAAAAATGGGAGCAAAAACAAAAGTGTTGCGTTTATATTTTTGTTCAGTGTATATACATTAGGGGTGTAACGGTTCACAGAAGTCACGGTTCGGTTCGTACCTCGGTTTGGAGGTCACGGTTCGGTACAACAAGAAAAAGCAAAAAAAAGTCCCAAATGCATAATTCCAGGTTTGTTGTTATTTATGATTGAACAGTAGTGCAAGTTTCAGTTTAAAAATAAAGAACTCTTTTTTTAATAATGAACTGTATTAAACAGTTAAAAACAAACCATACACAGTACCACACACACTCAGATGGCCATATTATCTATAATGGCTGATGTCAAACAAAAAGGTTTCATCAAGCTGTAAAACTAAAAGAATGTCTTGAAAATATGACATCATAAATAATAAGAAAGTGTTTCAAGAGCGCAAAGTCGTTGAAAAACATATGCCAAAAGCTTCCGTTATTTATTTTGGTCTCACGGCTTTCATTTCTATTGGTTTATAAAAACAGCGGGGATCAGCTGTTGAACTGCTGCTGTCTTTTGCCGGGCTCCGGTGATTGGCAAATCTGGGTGATGCCTTCTGATATGATTTAGCATGTTTGGCATGTGTTACCATTAGCATACCGCACCGCTGTAGAACAACGGCCGACACACCGTCCTCGTCCGATCCACTCGTTATTGTAGTCCACAGGGAACCCGAAATGTTCCCACACAGCTGATTTAGAAGAAGCAGGTGGGTTCTAGCTCCTGTGTTATCTGAAATCGCCATACTAACTTTTCTTCTTCTTGTATTTTGTTCTTGTTTCTTCTTGTTCTTCATTTGTTGTTTAAGGGCGGCTGGCAAACAGCTTTTAGGCGCAATACCGCCCCCTGGATTATATATAGTGTAGTGGATACTGCCCTGAATGACAGACTTTTTTCCCACTCATAAAAAAAAGGCGTATTCGTCGTGTGACTGCGTGTGCCGAACCGTGACGTCCGAACCGTGACGGTACGGTACGAATACGGATACCGTTACACCCCTAATATACATATATATATATGTGTGTGTATCATCTCATCATCTCTACTGTGCTTATGCACCATGTTGTGTTTTATTGACCCGTGTTGCAGTCAAATATCAGACGTTGTGTAATGAATTCTAAATAAAGTTTCCACACAAAGTTCAGTTCAGTTCAGTTTTATTTTAAAATAGATTTCAATAAATAAAGAAAAAAGACAATTAAAGAAAAAAGAGCCATCATTCCCCCCCCTCTGGGTCCCTTTTGAGTCTTTTCATCTCCTCCCTCCATTCCTCCACAGTTTTGCCGCCGGCAGCCGCGCAGTAAGACACACCTGCAATGCGAGTGTGGCCAGTGTCGATCCTCTTGGCCTGGCCACACTTGCTGCAGGTGTACTGACCCGTCTGCTGACGGGCTTTGCTCCAGGGCGACGGCCCACCCCTTGCAGCATCAGCCTCTGCCGCATTCCTCTTCCTGTAGGCCGTTGTCTTCGGCACACGGAGAGGAGGAGGCTGAGCAGCAGGGGCAAGCCATGAGAGGGGCCAGCCGGGAGCAGTAATCGAAGAGGAGGAGGAGGGGCAGCAGCCATGAGAGGGCCAGCCGGGAGCAGTAATCGAAGAGGAGGAGGAGGGGCAGCAGCCATGAGAGGGACAGCCGGGAGCAGTGTCCGAAGAGGAGGAGGAGGGGGAGGAGGAGGAGGGGGAGGAGGAGGAGGGGGGAGGAGGAGGAGGGGGGGTGTGGCCAGATGAGGCAGGCAGACCCCCCCCTGAAGGTCCCGGCACCTCCGGGATGTTGTAATGGAAGGGCTGTCCTTGTCCCACCTGTACAAAGGACAGCCCTTTCGCTGGCGGGAGAGGCTGGACAGCCACAGCTACTGCAGGGACGACGCCAGTTCCCTGCAGCAGCACAGACACCCCGCTCTCTCTCTGGCGCCGAGAGAACCTGTAAGACAAACCCGAGAAGACAGCTGAGTCACGGAGAGGACAGTGAGGGCAGGAAACAGGAATATTTTAAGCGAGTCTTACCGTTGGAGACTCTCCTTCCCAGGTCAGGAGGTGTTCTTCCCCTTCGCTGTCTTGAACCGCCCCTTCGGCTGCCTCTCCCGGTGTCTGGCAGGGTAGACGACCCGTCGCCTGTCCGGCTCGGGCAGGCGTTGCCAGAGGGCCATGAGTTCATCCACCCTCTTGTCAGAAAGCCCCTGAAGGCTCCTGGCTTCCAGCAGGGCCTTGGCCAGCTTCAGGACATGCTGGTATCCTGGCTGGCCATCAGGACCCTGCATCTCCTCCTGAGGAGAAAAGGAAGGAGGGAGGAGGAGAGAAGTGCTGCTGTGGAGTCTTGAATACATATAATTATTATTGTTATCATTATCAGTAGTAGCAGTGTGTTAGTGAACTTACCTCAGAGTCTGAGGAGGACTGCTGAGCAGGAGCCTCAGGGGCCTCGGGAGGGTCAGGTTGGTGAGGGGCGGCCGGGCCGGATGGCTCAGACCTGGGTGCGTCAGCCGGATCACCCGACCGGGCTGCTGTGCCGGTGGAGGGGATATCTGGCTGGAAGACGGTCGGGTCCTCCACGTCTTCCTCGATACCCTCGTCCACCTCCTCCAGCGACTGGATGGCAGCAGCCTCGTCCGGAATGTCGGGGTCAAAGCTGACGTCCTCAAGCACTTTGCCCGTCTGCCTGTACAGGAACTCCACCCCGATGAGCTCCCCTGTCACGCGGAAAAAAGACAGGAAGCAAAGGATTTGCAAAATGCTCCTTTTCCTCACAGTTATGATGTCTGAATAAAGTGAATAAGGTTTTCACATCACCCACCTGTGTACTCGGCAGGCTTGGTGAAGTCCTTAACCAGCTGACGGCCAAGCACCCTTTGGCTCTTCTGGTTAAGGGCGTGCTTGAGGTGGCCACTGTAGGAGTGCAGAGGCTCCACCTCTCCCGAAGCTGCCGCTGCGCGGTCCTCATTCCACCTCACCAGTCCATGGACCAGGAACGCCTGGAAGTGCTTGGCACTCGCCTGCGTTCCTGAGGAAGCCGGTATCAGATCAGAAATTAATTGACATTTGCGTGAAATGTGAATTCATGATAGACTTTATCACAAGCTGTACCTGGGATGAACCGGTGGAAGGACTCCAAAGACGTGGAGCCCCTCGCGCAGCGATACACCGGCAGGATTACTCCGCCCTTTGTCAGCCTGCCGGTCTGCGTGTACAGCTGCACGCCAGGTGGGTCCTGGATGCAGCTGAGGTGGGGCCTCTGCGTACTCCATATGTCCTGGATGCGGAGAGGGTCGAGCAACGGGATGTCCAGGTTGTCGCGTCCTGCCGTACCGCCGAAGGTTTAGAGGAGGTCCTGGATCAGGAGCGCCGTCTCTTCCGCCCCACGCGTCCGACGACGGCAGTGGAGCCTCCACTCCTCCCTGGTGATCTTCTGGATCACCTCGGCGTCGGTCAGGCCGACCATCCCGTGCTTCCCCTCCAGCTGGGACCGCTTGGCTTCAGTGAGACGGCGGGCATCTCCGGAGTCCACCTCGAAGATGCACAGAGACAGCTGCCTCATGAAGGCGGGGTACAGCTCGTGGCTCTCTGTGGTGACACCTGCTGCGAAACGTCGCATCAGGTGCCAGATGTCCAGTCTCACCACAAGCTGTCCCCACCCCTGTGAAAAGGAAACAAAAGTCTGTCTGATTATTGAAGTACAATTTTTCTTTTTCTGTTTTTATGATGTTGTAATTATCTTGAACAACATCTAGCGTGGCTTTGGTCAATAGTCATTTTGTGTAAGATAAATAATATTGCTATAATTCTACTATGATTATCAGTACTAGTATTGACAGGCCAGACCTGAAACAAGGCAGCTGTCTTTGACACGCCGTCTCTGTTGCAGCAGTCCCGATCCACGTAGATCAGCTGGGGGGGTGGTACCCCGGCGAGTCGGTACCGCCTCATCAGTCCGGCCGCCATACTGGACAGGCCCTCTGCGCCCTCGGAGCAGGTGAGGACGCTGATGAGGACCTGCCCGTACTCGTTACCAACGTTGGTAACCCAGGCGGCCGTGTCGGAAGCGATACCGGCGAGCTTCTTCGTCACCTGGACAGAGAGAGAGAGAGATATTTCAAAGGTGACCGCATAAACACACGGCGGCTGTAAGAAAAAAATGAAATTGTGCCAAACTATACTGACCTTCTTGGTGGAATCCATCTTCAGGATGGATCCGAAGGTGGACGTGATCCTGGCCTTGTACTCCAGCCGCGTCATTATGTCGTAGCCGTAGACCGTCAGCAGCCAGATGGGTGAGGGCAGAGTGGGCATTGTGGGCGGTGGTGGAAACTGCCCCCTCACGCTGCACAAGGCCAGGAACTGCTCGCACACGCCGAGGTACTGGATCGCTCTCCGCATCCAGGCGTCTGATGCTGCTCCCGCAGGGTGTTACACAACTGAGTGGCACTGTTGCCCAGAGTGCGGGACTTCAGCTAGGTAACCACCCTATGGTCACAGGACAGCCTGCAGAAACACAAAACAAGCATTATATACAGCTCCCTTCATCACATTTATATATATATATACGGTATGTTGTCAATTCCTCTCACTTGTACGTAAGTACTGCTGGGAACTGGCGGCTGTAGGTGGGGGCCAGCTGCCTGATGATGCCCTGTGACCACCCGCCGACCTTCTTCTTGCATCGAAGGCACTCCAGGTACTCGGTGGCCATGAGATACCAGCCGTCGATGTCCAGGACCCTCCGGATGGTCCTGTACAGCCCAGCCTTCACCATGGACCCGGTGCATGAAGGCTGGGGGCATGTCAGCTGCAGACGCCAGATCCGGTGTGGCATCCAGAGAAACAGCCGACATGCAAAGAAGGGGTCGGGGGACGCGGGAGGGCTGGTGGTAGATCGGCCGGGATTGGGGGGGGTTCCACCACAGATTCAAGTCTGGGATGAGGCTCGGCCTCCCCCACTGGTCCCTGGTGAACAGCACCCGACCGATCCACTGCTGCTGCTCCACAGTGAGAGCTGCCCGCCAGGACACGGGCAGCAGCTGGAGAGAGAACCAGAGCAACGTAAAGGGCACTTATATCTGAGGACATCGCTCCAGGGCAGCAGATGAGCAGCGTTTGCTTTGACAGACAGTCTTACCTCACGTGGCAGAGGAGGGAGGAAGGCTGGCCCCGGCAACTCCTCCTGTCCGGGAGCAGCTCCGGGGGAAGCCGTGGCTGCGGTAGCGAGGAGGGAGCTGGTGCAGGCTGGACTACTGCTGGAGGTCGCAGGGCGTGGTCCTGTTCCTAAGTGGCCTCCAGCAGCTCCTCGTCCGTGGGCTCGCCCAGCACAGCAGAGACACCAGCCCCCTTCTGTGGTGCGGAGGAGGGGGTGGCGGGAGGCGGATGGAGCGGGAGAGGGGCCTGTACATCCGAGGCTTAAAGAGAAATCAAAGTCAACTTAATCTCAAATATGTTTGTACACACAGAAAGATTGAAATACTGTTTCCCACAGCCCAGAGGTATAAAAAAGACACACAAATGTTTCATTAACATGAAAGAATTAGATGTTCGTTGCGTTAATATTGAGCCACAGAAAACTAAAACCTAGTGGAGCACAGAAGGTTGTTTAAAGAGAGAAAGTGACGACGAGACAAAACAACGGCACCAGATTAGACTTGTTGAGGGAGCGATGCAGGCAGCGAGCGGTTGGAGGGGTTACGCAGGTTTACGAGGGAGAGGATGATGAGCTTACTCTACAAGCACTCGTTAGTGATGATCTGACAGGCGATTGGTCGGCGTGAAGCTTGGTGATTTGAGACTTGAAACAGGCGGATAGTTTTTCATTAAAGCAAACTTACCTGCCAGGTCATATCCTTCTGAGTACGGGCATATTTATAGAGCAAAATAAAGGGAGAAGGGTCAAAAAGGAAGTCAAACTTTCAGTTATCAACAACATGTTGCATGAATGCTACTTGAGTTTTTACTTACACTCCTCCATGTCAACTACCGCCCTGATCAGCTCGTCATCGGAAGACTCCTCCGATGGCTTGGAGGGAAGAGCTGATCTGAGGGAGGCTGTAATCGCAACGTGAGTGAGAAGAAAATATACAGTGAACATGAGAAATACGAATAGGGTTAAACTGTGCATTTCATTCAGGCTGGACTTGCCTGGAAATGCAGGCTTAGGGACCACCAGCTTCTTGATCTTTGCCTGCAGTTCCACGGCAGACAGAGAACGCCGCCCGGACACGAAGGCCGCAAGCGCTGAACCAAGAGGCCTATGAGACAGAACAACATCTAGAATGCACAGCATGAAAAACACCAACGTGTCTTCAGAAAGGTCATCCAGGTACGTCAAACTCAGACAGCTTTAAAATAACACACGTACTTTGATGCAGTCCTCGCTCTCTGGCCAGAGACAGAGACTGTGCTGGTGGTGGTGGATGCAGCAGCAGCAACAGCAGCAGGTCTCTGTCTGTCTCGGCTCTTGGTAGCAGATGGCGTTCTCCATCTGCGAGCCGGGTGTGGGAATCTTCCTCCGGAGGTAGTTGACAAATCTACAAAAATCAGACAATTTGTCACATGATTATTATCAACCGAATAAGAATCCACATGTATATATATATATATATATAGATATTACGACATACCGGATTTGTTTGGGGTCCACAGACTCGTACAGGCTGTCCAGGGTCTCAAATTTAAAGTCCCCGAAGCCAACAAGGGCCTGTCCCTCCTGACCAGGCAGGAGGGACTTCGCCCGCGCCTCCTCAAACGCCCGGTGGAACCTGACTGCCTCCAGAAAGTCAGGGTACGCTGAGGAGTAGTGGGTGAAGGCGTCCTGTAAATTCACAAATAAGGTTAAAACTGTTGTCACTCTTTTAATGGTATTGTGAATCAGACTGAAGTACTCCACCTTGTTGGCCATCAGCGGGGACTGAGACCCTGTCCTCTCTCGCTCCTTCTGGTGGGAGGCGACCAGATTAATGGCGTAGCCCACGTCGTTCTCCAGGAGCCAGTGGAAGATCTTTCCCTGGTACTGGCCGAACTGGACCTTCCACCGGCTCAGGACGAGGGTGGCGTTGGCGGTGGAGCCACCCTCGGAGGAGACGTGGGCCCAGGCCTCCGCGTCCACCTCCTCGGGCTTCTTTGCCCTGTACAGGGCTTGGCCGGCTGCTCGCCGGGGGGCGAGGGTGCTGGCTTCGTCCGTGGCCTTTAAGAGGAGAGTCCCGTTAGGGGCCCTCCGAAATACTGGATGTTCCATCTACACAGAGTTGGACTCAGTTAGACCACTACCACAAATACAATGAAGTACTTTACTGTTGGAGTCAGTACTAGTTGGACTTCTACCACAAGTAGGCTACTATGAAGTTATTTTACTGTGTACTTTTTCAGTTATTCTCTGTCAAACTCCTGTGGCAGAAAATCATTTTATCTCTCGTCAAATATAGCAGAAAACATGCAGTTTGACAGAGGATTAAAACTATAATCAGAGCCCTCTCATCGGAGCTCCGTTAGTACACACACACACAGGAGCGGTACATACTCCTCAACCTGTCGGCCTTAAGAGCTTCAGAGGGCGGATACCTGAGCTCCGTAGCGTCCCGCTAATGTGAAACACACACACACAGCGTTAGCGGGACATTCTCCTCCCCCTGTCGGCCCTAAAGGCTTCAGAGGGCGGATACATGAGCTCCGTAGCGTCCCGCTAATGTGAAACACACACACACACACAGCGTTAGCGGGACATTGTCCTCCCCCTGTCGGCTCTAAAAGCTTCAGAGGGCGGATAGCTGGGCTCCGTAGCGTCCCGCTAGCTCAAGGTGAACACACACAGCAGTTCATCAGCGGTTCACAAAGTACCGTACAAACACCACGGCTAACTCAGTATGACTAATGTCGGACATAGAAGTGTCTTTGTAACAGTGTTTACACGCGTATTTGCTAATAATTAATGCACATTTTACTCACAGTGTCACTTGATTGAAGTCACTCAGTAGAATGCCAGGTCGAAACAATGGCGGACGGAGGAGAGAATTTGGAAAAAAATCCGCCTCACTGATAGGACGCATAAAGTCTGATTCTCTGATTTGGACCTTTATCCGCCTCCCATTGGCGAACGATTGAATCCACCCGGTGGAGGATACTGCCCATTCTTCTCTGTGAAAGGAGGGGGGCAAGGAGAGGAAAGTGGGCCCTGCTCCGCGGAGCAGAAGGTCGGCCGTTCGATCCCCAGCTGTGGCAGAGATGAGGAAGAGCTCCCCTCTCAGCCAGCACTGCCTGACACTGATGACTCTAAAACAGGGGGTTTTGGTCAATGATGATGATAAACTACAAAGAGTATCTGTAAAGTGCAGTGAGATAACATCTGAATAAATAAAACTGATCTGATTAAAGAAAGGTTTGTTCTACAGAGCTGTATTATGATGCATGTTATATTTGATATATATATCAAATATAACATGCATCATAATTGAGTGGCAACATATATACATATATATACACATACATATATACATATAGGAGACATATCATCTCTGCTGTGCTTATTTATACACCATGTTGTGTTTTATTGACCCGTGTTGCAGTCAAATATCAGACGTTGTGTAATGAATTCTAAATAAAGTTTCCCACACAAAGTTCAGTTCAGAGTTTTATTTTAAAATAGATTTAAATAAATAAAGATAAAAGACAATTAAAGAAAAAAAGAGCCATCATTCCCCCCCCTCTGGGTCCCTTTTGAGTCTTTTCATCTCCTCCCTCCATTCCTCCACAGTTTTCCCGCCGGCAGCCGCGCAGTGAGACACACCTGCAATGCGAGTGTGGCCAGTGTCGATCCTCTTGGCCTGGCCACACTTGCTGCAGGTGTACTGACCCGTCTGCTGACGGGCTTTTGCTCCAGGGCGACGGCCCACCCCTTGCAGCATCAGCCTCCGCCGCCTTCCTCTTCCTGTAGGCCGTTGTCTTCGGCACACGGAGAGGAGGAGGCTGAGCAGCAGGGGCAGCCATGAGAGGGCCAGCCGGGAGCAGTAATCGAAGAGGAGGAGGAGGGGCAGCAGCCATGAGAGGGACAGCCGGGAGCAGTGTCCGAAGAGGAGGAGGAGGGGGGGGGGAGGAGGAGGGGGGGGGGGGTGTGGCCAGATGATGCAGGCAGACCCACCCATGAAGGTCCCGGCACCTCCGGGATGTTGTAATGGAAGGGCTGTCCTTGTCCCAGCTGTACGAAGGACAGGAATATTTGAAGCGAGTCTTACCGTTGGAGACTCTCCTTCCCAGGACAGGAGGTGTTCTTCCCCCTCGCTGTCTTGAACCGCCCCTTCAGCTGCCTCTCCCGGTGTCTGGGAAGGTAGACGACTCGTCGCCTGTCCGGCTCGGGCAGGCGTTGCCAGAGGGCCATGAGTTCGTCCACCCTCTTGTCAGAAAGCCCCTGAAGGCTCCTGGCTTCCAGCAGGGCCTTGGCCAGCTTCAGGACATGCTGGTATCCTGGCTGGCCATCAGGACCCTGCATCTCCTCCTGAGGAGAAAAGGAAGGAGGGAGGAGGAGAGAAGTGCTGCTGTGGAGTCTTTACATACATTGCATTTAGCTGACGCTTTTATCCAAAGCGACTTACAATAAGTGCATTCGACCAACAAGATACAAACTAGAAGAAAACAGAATCATATAAGTACATCAGGTTTCATAGAGCCAAACAATTTCAAGTGCTACTCAACTGGCTTTAGGTAAGCCAGTCCTTTATTAGTATATAAGTGCTTTGTTAATAGTTCTAACGCTCGAATTGGAGTCGAAAGAGATGAGTTTTCAGTCTGCGCCAGAAGGTGTGTAAGCTTTCTGCTGTCCTGATGTCAATGGGGAGCTCATTCCACCATCCTGGAGCCAGGATAGCAAACCCACGTGTTTTTGGTGATGGGAACTTGGGTCCCCCTCGCTGTGCGGGTGCAGCGAGCTGTTTGGCTGATGCAGAGCGGAGTGCACGTGCTGGGGTGTGCGGTTTATCCATGTCCTGGATGTAGGAAGGGCCAGATCCATTCGCAGCATGGTACGCAAGTACCAGTGTCTTGAAGTGGATTCTAGCAGTTACCGGAAGCCAGTGAAGGGAGCGGAGGAGCGGAGTGGTGTGGGAACATTTAGGAAGGTTGAAGACCAGACGAGCCGCTGCATTCTGGATGAGCTGCAGAGGTCGGATGGCACATGCAGGTAGACCAGCCAGGAGGGAGTTGCAGTAGTCTAGGCGTGAGATGATCTTATCTTACTATTAACAGGTGAATGAAAAAGGGGACTAAGGGCACTGTCGCCTAGTGGTTAAAGCGCCTGTCTCGTAAACAGGAGATCCTGGGTTCAAATCCCAGCAGTGCCTCATAACAGTGTCTAACCCTCAAGCTGTATTTTCTGCGGAAACATAAATACTAAAGGAATATATTTTAAATGTTTTCTAAGGCTTCAGAAGTTGTTTTCTGTATGCTAGGAAATCATCAAACCCAACACACCGGTTCATTAAAGTGTACAGATTGTTCCCAGTATGAGGCGCTGCTGGGATTCGAACCCAGGATCTCCTGTTTACAAGACAGGCGCTTTGACCAACTAAGCCACAGCGCCTCTTTCTGCCAGTCTGGAGATGTGTTATTTCTCAATTCAAAAGGAAACTATTAACCACGCAGCAACCTTCAGGTCTGAAAAATAAAGCCAATTTTGAAGTTACAAAAAAAGAATCCTCCAATAACCAGTCGAGGCATGAACCTCAATGGCTGGATATGAAAGTAGCTCTGTTTTTAGATGAGAAAACAATGCTGTATCTTCTTTCTGGAGAAATGTCACATAAAGAATTCATCCTGAAATCCTAGGATCACCTGAACAGTTGAAATCCTGCAAATCCATTGAGGCACTGCTGGGATTTGAACCCATGATGTTGTGTTATCTTCTTTTTCACATCACAGAATTAATGCAGCTTTGATATGAGAGAAAACTGACAGGAGTTCAAGGGCACTGTCGCCTAGTGGTTAAAGCGCCTGTCTCGTAAACAGGAGATCCTGGGTTCAAATCCCAGCAATGCCTTCATTGATCAGGGATGATGTGGATCTCCATTCTTCTCGTTAAAGATCAAGATGTGTTTTTGTTTGGGAAATACGTGGAACAGGCTAAATGTCTTTTTGGGGAAATGCCACATTCATCCTGAATTCATTGGAAATGCTTGACATCCTGCAAATCCGCTGAAGCAGTACTGGGACTTGAACCCATGATTTAGTATTATCCTCCTTTTGAGTTGATGGCAATAAATGCAGATTTGGTTTAATAAGGGTGAGGACAGAAAGGGCACTGTCGCCTAGTGGTCAAAGCGCCTGTCTCGTAAACAGGAGATCCTGGGTTCAAATCCCAGCAGTGCCTCATAACAGTGTCTAACCCTCAAAGTGTATTTTCTGCTGAAACATAATCACTAAAGAAATATTTTGTAAATGTTTTCAGAAATTGTTTTCTATATGCCAGGAAATCCTCAAACCCAACACACTGGTTCTTTATAATGCACAGCCTGGTGCCCAGTATGAGGCACTGCTGGGATTCGAACCCAGGATCTCCTGTTTACAAGACAGGCGCTTTCTTATTTCTCAATTCAAAAGTAAACTTTTAACCACACAGTCATTAGAAAAACAAAGTTATTCCAATGACCACTTGAGGCACGAAACTAATAGCTTTGATATGAAGACAGCTTTGTTTTAAGATGAGAAAAAAATGCCACATTTCATTCTGGAAAACATATCTCATGAAGAATTCATCCTGAAATCCTAGGATCACTTGAACAGTTGAAATCCTGCAAATCCATTGAGGCACTGCTGGGATTTGAACCCATGATGTTGTGTTATCTTCTTTTTCACATCACAGAATTAATGCAGCTTTGATATGAGAGAAAACTGACAGGAGTTCAAGGGCACTGTCGCCTAGTGGTTAAAGCGCCTGTCTCGTAAACAGGAGATCCTGGGTTCAAATCCCAGCAGTGCCTCATGTTGTTTGTCTGATTTTGTTGATAGAGATTGCTCTTATTCAAGAAAAACTTAACCTCAGGAATTTTTTTAAGATTTCCACAGTTGTTTCTATGATATGTAGAATGCTAAACATTTTTTTGCATCACTTCTTTGTACAATAAACTTAACATACATAGCGGCGTGGGAACATTTAGGAAGGTTGAAGACCAGACGAGCCGCTGCATTCTGGATGAGCTGCAGAGGTCGGATGGCACATGCAGGTAGACCAGCCAGGAGGGAGTTGCAGTAGTC